CAGAGACATTTGGTTCTTATCTTCAGGAAAATTATAGTGTATCAACTCTGTTCAGTAACAGCTTCTGTGATCATGGGAAAGTCATTTAACGTCTTTGAGCCTCAGCTACACCAAATGTTAATTCATTGGCAATGTGTATAATAAGGTGGTATAGGAGGACTCAAAGAGCTAACTTATGTGAACTTGCTCCGCAAAGGGCTGTTTAAATACAAGTGTTTGCTTAATATTGATGTTTTCTACCACATGGATACCACAAAACACTTATTATACACAGACCACTAGCTGGGAGGCATGGGAGCCTTCACTTTTCTTCTTACTGCCCTCAACAGCTCAGCTGCTCTTACAGCAATCAGTCCTCAGGAATCCTGAATTAAAAAACTAAAGACCCTTTGGCCAATTGAAGTTAATTGGGTAGTCCATGACTTCCACAGCGAAACATCAAGCTATACCAAGTTAAGCAGATTTCCTCACCCATTCATTTAACAAACATTTATTGAGTAACATTTGTTGCACTCTGTAATGAAAAAGCCAGAAAAAAAAAACCAAAAACATTTTAACAGTTGACTTACTTAATTGATTGATTTTAAATTGTGATAGGAGCTTGAGGGAAAAAGAGTCCTGAAATAGAGCCACACTAGAGAAGACCTACCTTGGTTAAACTGGTTCTCTGTAATAAAGTGGAACTTTGCTGGATACCTAAAGGGCAAGAAATTAGCCATGCAGAGAGAGAGGAGTAGAGTATTCCAGGCAGAAGGAACTTTACGTGCAAATACCCCATGTTGAGGAAGAGCTGAGTGTGTTCAGGAATTGAATACTTCTCATGAGCTTGACCAGAAGAGGTTATGAAGCAGGAAAGGTTGGTGAAAGTTATTTTCACAGGCCATTTACTCCAGAACTTCTCAGAGTCTGTATCATGCTAACATGTATTCAGTGTGTAGTTCCTCCCAAATCTAAAGTTGGACTTCTCAAAGACAGAGCCCTTGTTGGTCTTAGAAACACTCTTTTAAAGTGCTGATTGTTCCATTAAGACATAGGTGACATGAGATGTGCATCCCTATCACTCTTCTCACAAGGCTGCTGACCCCTCAGCTAAATACTCAGAATGCCTGAACTGGTTCTCTGAATTCTGACAGGACCCACTTGCAAACAAGGAGATTTCCTGAGACAGGCTGGTGTATGAGCCCAGGCAAGTCAGTTACATGTTCAAACTGAAAAGAGACTGTGTGAAAGCTTGATTTTTAAATTGCTAAATTCAACAATAATAATCTCTTATATTTTTACTTCTTAGGTCAAAGATACAGGGAGAATGGGGAAAGGACAAAAGGACGAGACACTTATTCATTGTCAGTAAACGTACCATGAGACATAGAACTGAAATAAGAATTATTCTTTAGTAGCAGGAAAAACAACATATGGTCCCTTATGTTTAGACTTTAGCATCTAATTGCATATTCTCATTTTAGTTTGTTTTTTTGGGGGGGGGAAATGGTTAAAATTTACCTCACTTTTTCTGTACTTTCCAAATAAATAGTAAGTATACAGGAGAATATTGGGTTCTTTACCTTTAAGATATTAACCTGACTTCTTAAATAATCATAGTCCAAGTTATGCTATGACTTTAATACCCAAGTGGCTAGGTTATGAGTCATACCGATAATCACATAAGTAAAAAGTAATTTTTATCAAAAAAGTATAGGATCCTTGACAGTTATGACAGTCTTTTAAATGACTCTATAGCATCATCATCATTTCCCTTCTTTTCTTAATAACCTCTTCATATACACTTTCAAATGACAGTTTTCAATGGCCTGCTCCCCTTTTTCTCTCACATCCAAAAATTCAAAATCAGATCAGACACCTGCCATTCTTCCACATTCAAAAGTATCTCTAAAGGCAGAAGTAGCTGTGTATACATAAAGGATGCAGGTTTGAGTCCACAGAGTGTTAAATTAATATCCTGGCCTGACCAGTTCAACTTACCGTACATCTTCATTTGCCCAGTAACACAATCTATAGCCAACTGCTAACCAAGTCAATATGTGGTAAGACTTAACAGCCACCCTAACTTGCCTTGATAATTATTCTCCTTTAACTGACATAATATTCAATATACTGTTGTTGAAAGCAATAATGCTGAAATTGATGCCTTGAGGGCTACAAGACAATGAGTTTTAGCCAGATAAAACGACTTGTACACTAACAGTGCATTATAGGTTTCCATAGACTTCATACATACATTTATAGCCTACTTGTAAAAAAATGCTATATACAATTATAATCAAAATCATTTGTGCACACCTTATCATTATTACATATAATTTTAAAAATATTAGCCAATTATCAAATAACATTGATTTAGAAGAAAAAGGTTTGCTTTTATAGTTTTTTTAAGAAAATGAACATTTTCTCACTAAGTGATAACATAAGTGATAACAGTTTGTGTCCTATTTTGTTTTTTTCTAAACCAAGAACTGTCTTCACAAGGAACAAGTAGATTATAAATGCTGAATAACAAAAAACATCATTTAAATACAATCTATATTATGATTGTATCAATAAAAATAAAAACTTAACCTAAAGTGCCTCTAATATAAAAATCTATAGTTTTCTCAAAATATTAATTCTAGATTATGAATAAACGTTAAATTTTAGATTTTGTCAAGCCATATTAAATTAATAAAAATTAATTATAATTTAAGCATCACCATAAATGACAATGTTCTTTATATATAATATTTCACCCCAAAATAAGAAACTTTATAAATTTTAGTTTGTGAGTATGCTGAATTTTCCTCTAATAGTTAATTTCTCTTACAATCTTGTATCTTTAAATTCTGGGCCCTCATTAAAAAAAAGGAAATATGGAGTACATTTTAAAGGTATGCATTTTCTATACTGGCCTTAGTGAGAGATAATGTTAAAGTACTGGGGAAAATTAACGCTTAAATAATTATTTTAAGTAAGATGAAAAACAGGCACTAGTCAAGGAAGAATAACGCCATACCACAGGAACACCAGCAGGTTCTGTACCTGCTACCAGCATGATACTACAGTGCGCTGGTTAAGATGGCAAGTGAGCATGGCCATGCACATATCTTCTGGACAGAAAGATACAGTGTATATGCTCCAGATATCTGAGGCAAAAAATACATGTGGAACCAAAATATGATATTGATAATATAAATATAACATCATAGTGGAGGTAATAAAGATGGTACCAGAGTAGGGGAAAATACTTGTAGGTTTAGAATAAAAGAAAGATGAACTGTTAGCCAAGAGTTCCATTCAAACATCTTTAAGAGGTTTGTTCCTGCATGAAGGGTAAGGTCTATCTGAAACAGACATTAACAATCTTGCTATGGAAATGACTGCAGAGGATATGGTACTGTATGCACCTTAGGGCCATTTAAGAAGGGATTATGACACTGGTTCCACACTTAGTTGTTTCTGGCTCCCTCTTCCTGGACCTTGTGTACCCTATGTCCCCTGACCACCCAGGACTTATCTTCCCCACTTATCCCACTGAAATGTCCCCATCCTGAGGCAAATGAGATAATGCTTGTAAACATGCTCTATAAACTAAAAACGTAATATATAATTATTACTATTATCACCATCATCTCATCTTCTGACAGCCAAATTTTCTGTGGCTACCAAGCTGAGATTCTCACTAAATTAAGAAACAATTCTATTCTGGGAGCAGACAGGTTATTCCACCTCCCCTATCTTTCTCTAGTTCTCCTCATAATCCCTCCATTGCTCTCCTGTCCAAGTTAAACACCTGGAGGCACCACATAGGAGAATGACAGGAATTTGTGTGTTTTGATGCCAACTTAAAGCGAGGGGGAGACTTGAGTTTACCCACTCACCACATACCAAGCTGGTAGCCAAGGCCTTGAATCTAACACAAGGGGGCTCAGTGAATAAATACTGGCAATACCTCCAGTGCCATACAAGGCTGGCACAGCCAAAAATAATTTTTTTGGAGGGGTCATTTCTCCTGGTATTATATCCATAGGAAATCTCAAAAATCACTTCAGATTCCTCCTTCTCAAATTGAGATCTCTTTCAGCAGGAGCAGACACTTCTTCCTTATCCAGTGTAGTCTTTTTGGATCCTGGAGTCTCCCAAAATGCTGTTCTCAACATTTACCCCTTAAGGGAAGACAAGTGTCCATAAAAAAACACTTCAGAGGCAAAATATACAATGCAAAATGACTAATGACATACTGTAATAAAATGATGAAGAAAGGGAGGGGGTGGTAGATGAGGGTATGTGAAGGCTGTAGACCTCCCAGAAAAGTCATAAGGCCCTCACCAGATCAGAAGTGCCACTGATGCAAAGGAGGGGCTCAAGGCTAGAGGAACAGGTGCTGTGAAGGCAAATCGATAGCCATGTATGCATGTTTCAGAATGTAGACTTCTGAAGGCTATGATGTGGGGCTTTGTTGGTTGTTAAGTTTATATAGGTTACAGTTCTTCCTTTGATTTGGATGAAGAAACAATAAATGTGCAGGTACACAGACAAATAAGCAAAACACCATCCCTACAAATTGAGCGTGAGAAAAAGCCCTAATAAATCCAAATGAAGGGTAATCTAAGATTTTTACACACACATCACCTACCTCAAAGAGCCCTCCTTTTAATTATGCTACAATAAGACTTGCCAGAGAAGTCAGAAGTCAGAAAGAAGTCTCATTCCCATGTAGTAGGGAAAGAGAGTTGAATTCAAAAAGGTGCAATGCAAACAAAATAACACTAGTCAAGAGATTACTTTTTCCCTTCTAATACACACCACTGAGGCCCTATGGTGGCTGGCTGGGTGTCTCATGTTCTTTCTACTTTCCTGACAAGCCTGATGAAATGACCATTTTCACCAGAGGAGGGTATGCATGCCTGGGTCTGCAGGGGGGCAGGAGGGAGACCAGGTGTGCCAAGGGCTCTTACCCACCCCCAACCTAGAACTGGCCCCAGAGGCTGGCATTCAAGTCCTCCCCCTACCTGAAGGATGTATCCTCGGACATAGTCCCGCAGAGTCCAGCCCAGGCCGTGCAGTATGTGAAGTACCTCCTCTTGCTTCAGGACGCTGAAGAGACGGTCTAGCAGTATCTTTAGCCTCACGGGCACCGCTTGTGTCCCATAGAGCATCAGGCTGCTGATGTCAAACACCACATTGGACTGCACAATCTCCACTTGGGTGGGGTGGTACAGGTGCTGCGTGCTGAGCTTATCCAAGGCTGTGGTGGTCCCACCAAAGTTTCAGAGATGTGGGGGTTGGGGTGGAGGAATAAAGAGAGAGAGGGAGAGGACAGAGAAATTAGAAATATTACTGGAAGTTATCATGGTTGCATCTCTATAGATAGATGATAACCACAGATGTTTAAGCAAGATTTTGCTATGTAAATATTTCTCTTCCCTTCTCTTTTTTGCTTTGCCCCTTTTCTTTTCTTTCTTTCTTTCTTTTTTTTTTTTTTTGATTCATTGTATTTATAAATTACAGGTTACAGCAAATACAAAACACATTCAACTTTCAGAAAGAGTCACTGAAGATGTTTTTAAATGACTGTGGCTGGGACTAAAACCCTGACTAATTAATTTGTTAATTGAACTATGGCTCAACTCAAGTTACCATGGTGTCCCTCTCTCCCCACCAAGAAACAAAACAAAACAATTCCTAACTAATGCCATACAAGGAGGCTCAACCAGTAAGATTTACCCTTTATAATACCTGAATAGTTTAAAGAGGAAGAGGACTGTGTTCTTTAGACTATAGGGGTAAAAGGCCTAATTTATAGAGAGAATAAGGAAAGCTGACATCTATGTGGAGGGCTAGAAATTTAACTCAAATTATATTAGCTAAGGAGGATTACCCAAGAAGTTAGTTCTCACAATTTCTCTTTTGTTAGTCACCTATGTTAGTTTTTGTGTTTACAGGAATGTTCTCTGAAAGAATTAAGGAAAAAAAGAAAGAAGAAATTCAAGCCATAATTTTGTCACTTTGTTAATAGCTCTGACAAGGGTATAGATGAAAATAGAAACATCCCAAAATCAAATTTTAGTAATTTCTGTGTTATTTCAGCTAACTAGTAATTCAGCGGAGAAAAGTGAGGATGAACATTCTCAGAGTAAATACTTGCACTAGTTTTAATGAAACTACGATTTCAACAATTGGGCTATTTTTCTCCTTAAATCTAAGATATTGCCATTTCTTTCCTTGAACTAAAAGCCAAGATAAGGTCATAGATTTTAGTACCCTCCTATATCTCAGTTACTGGGAACCATATTGCTGATAATATAATTACATTTTTCTCAGTTTTCTAAGATAATACTGTCTCATCTATAGGACTCAAAGAGATACTGCAAAGATTAAGGAGATAATGAGTAAGAGGTGCTCTGAACTCCTTAAGAGAACACAAAAGGCATTACCATTAATTGTCAGAACTACACACATATGCCCATTTAGAGATTAAACAAGACAAACATGTAAGCCTGAACGGTGGTCATCTAACTTCACGAGCCAGGCAAATGGCCACTAGACAACATCCAGCTCAAGTCATAACTACACCTGAACATACCTAAGGTTTCTGCAAATTCTAAACTACTGTGTGGCCTTTCTCAACTCCTTTTCCTCATCTTATCCCCTAACAGTATGGGCTATGGTACATGTATATTCTCAGCAACTTCTATTTTACTGTACCAATAATTCTGCATAATAATGGAGGGACTTAAAAGTGCATGCAGGTTTTTTAGTACTTCAAATGTATTTTTTCAGAGCTCCTCCTCCACTCTTGTTTCCTCCTGACTTGTGGTCACTAGAGAGTTCATGTGCTCTTGATAAATTGCTTTCTTACATCCACAGTGTAAAGGCCCTTATCATTTACCCGCTGGCTTCATTCAACACATTTACTCCCAGGAATACTTTGTCAAAGAGTTCGGGTTTCCTCATACTTCATTTCTTGCAGCTGATTTGTCTGATCTTTCCTATTCTCATGGTTAAGTCAACTTTGAATAAATAGCCTTAAAAATTAATTTAACGTTTGGGAAAGATAAGGGATTCACAAGCCTAGGGATTGAAGTCTTCTCTTGCTCCACAGGGCATTTAAACTGCAAAAAAGCAGGAAAGGGGTATTATTATCCCTGTTCTTCTTCAAGTACAGCTTAACTACTCAGCCTTCTGAGGAGTGGCTGATCTGCTTACAGAACCCAGTGACCAGATATGGGGAAATATGTTTCTCCTTCACTTTCCCTCATAAGCTCTTCTGGACCATTGCAAACACTTCTTTATAAAATACACTGCTATGACCACAACAAATATGAAATAGAAAGGGGAAATAAAATGACACCAAATCCTGATTTTTACGTATGTGTTTGGCATCTTTTATCTCTGCATTAAGTATGTGCAGCTGTGTGTAATAATAAGTTCAAGTGCTGGGTGGGAAAATTCTAATCCCTGTCCCTCCCCCTCATTAAAAAAGGTTGACGATTTTAAAAGATGACAAGTACTAAACTATTGAGGGTAGAGAAAAAAAAGTGAAATTGTTCAGAAAACTGAATGAATGCAGGTAGAACAGGTAAGCCAAAAATAGTTCCCTAGATATACTTTTCAGAACACCAGAGAGTGAGAATATAATAAAGACATGACTGGATTCTTCTTTGTGAATACACCATATGTCAAGAAGTAGGAATACTGTTACAAACCACATAAATCTATAGCACGGGTCAAGAACTTAGCTATAAGAGCCAGATAATACTGTAGGTTCGAGGGCTTTATGTTCTTTTTCATACCTATTCATGTCTGCTCCTATAGCAGGAAAGCAGCCATATAAAGATAAGACTTAAACTAATAGGTGTGTGTCTGTAGTCCAATAAAACTTAATTTACACTAACAGTCACCTCCCAGCTTAGTCTGAGCCCTGATATGGAGGATGGAAAGGTGGGCCAGATATCTAAAGAAAATCAATAGTAGATAATGATAAGGCCCTGAGAGTATAGTTTAGGCAGCAATTACCTAGGAGATAAGCCATAGATCAAGGCTTAGAAAATACTAAATTGCCCAGCATGCAGACCTCAATTGTAAATTTCAGCATAAACATATCATCAAAGATTATAATCTGTCAAATTTCTTAAATATATCCAAATTTTCCACTCTATGACTGTAGAATAATACTGAGTCACGAAATTGTGACAACTATTGGGGAAATATCCTTGGTGGAACAAAGGGTAAGTGATGATTTTCTTAAGTGTCATCTATCTGTAAGCTGAGAACTGGACTTCTGCCAGATTCCATGATCTTTGTATGTCTGTGGAGGAGTTACGTCTGGATCTTGTAGGGTTTGGAATATGAGCTAGGCTAATAGGGATGAGGAAAAGGTAGGGAAAGAATGTGTTCCTCAAGATAGAGTGGGGAAAGATGTCACCTACAAGAATGTTCTATGGGCCTAACTATCTGCTATTAATTGTCCCATACCAATGGTATTGTTAAGATTCCATCTACATATGAAATCTTAACCACAAGTTGGGTGAAGCTGCTCTAGGTAAAGCTGGAGTAAGCATGGATTGGAGAATTTCCATACATTTGTTACTCTCTTCTTCCCTTCAAACTGTTTAAATATTTCAGTGGGATGAACCCTGGAAGTACAGTTTGAAAAGCATTTTTCTACACAACAAGATGATATCAATTGTTTTGCTTTTTTGGTGTTCATTCCCCTTTATTCTGGTAATAGAAATTGGATTTTCCTTTGAGGAACCACTCCTTATGTGCACTCATAGAACTGAATATTCCTTAGCCAGGCCTGTAATACCAGTATATCCCAGCCTCCTGACCAGAGCAAATGGTTCAAAAATGGGCAAGTGACCTAAATCTGGACGGCGACAATGAATCCAGAAACATACTTAGAACTACTGAGAATTTCTTTTCTCAAAATCTGCAGCTAGGAATTATACTTGAGAATGTGAAACATATGGAGAAGAAAGAGTTGAGCTGTAAGATGATCTGAAGATGACCAAGTACTGATAATATTGTTTGATCCAGAAGATTTGGCAGTACTTGACGTTGGCACTATCTCTGGAGTTTTCTGCCGCATCAGCCAACAAAATTTTTAAAAAATCAACCTCTCTCCACCCTTTCTTCCAATGTCTACCTCAACTGACATTCTATAACTTGAAACTAAAAGAGCCCTCACTAATCTAACTACCTTTTGAAGTTCTTCTCCAGCTGGATTCCATGTAATTTCAAGTAGTGGTCAGTGGTTCAACTAAAGATATGTTAGTTCTTAGTTAAACACAACTCACAATGTCTGCAATTTCTGAAATTAAGGGTTTACCAAGACAATTTCATATCTTATACAAATTTACAAAGGGTGATGGATGCCTTCAACAGCATTAATAAAGACAAATAATGGTGAGGAGGAGAGTAAAGAAAGTGACTATTTAAGTATCAACTACATATCACAGACATCATTCTAGGGGTTCACTATTGTCTCATTTGATCCTGTAATTAACACACACACACACACACACACACACACACACACGAGTATTATTATACTATCATCGCCTATTCTGAGATCACAGGCTCAATGGGGTTAGGTAACTGGCCTAAGGTCACTTAGCAATTTTACCTAAGAATATTCTTGTTCCACCACAAGTTCAGATGAATAGTCAATAAAAAGCTTGCAAGTCCTCATCGTGCTGGAAGTCCCTAACTCCAAGCAATCTGGGCTTCTTGCCCACCACTCTGCTGAAGCAAGCATTTCAAAGGTCAACAACACCTGCCTTTCTGTGAAATCCAATAGCATTTTTGCTTCATTGTTCTCTGTGGTCTCTCCATAGCAGCTGACCTTATTGATCACTATTTCTCCTAAAATGCTTTCTTCCTTCATTCACACATACATTCATTCACCAGCTCTTACTATTATAACTTATCACTGAGGTAAGATGCTGTACGCAGATGCAAAAAGTAATTTATGTTGTAGCCTTCACCTCCAAATGTAGACAGATACAGGCAATATAAATGCCATAAAAAAGATTTGATAAAGTACTGTGGGGACATGGAACAGAGGGCAACTCTGCCAGGAAACCACAGTCTCATAAGGTAACTAGGAAGTCAGCAGGCAAGAAAGGAGGAGAGTGATGTAGGTAGATGGAACTAAGGCAATGGTTCTCTAACAGAAATGTGCACCAGAATCACCTGGAGGGCCTATTAAACATATATAGCTAGGCCACCTCCCCAGAGCTG